TATAAAATGAACAAATTTTTCAAGCCACCTCCCAGACTTTTCAACCCTCTTTCGGTTGAGAATTCATCGTCTAAAGTTTTCTCCTCATTTCACTAGTGTTTTTGGTACTTTCGAGGCTTCTCAGTCATGAAATTATCTCGATCAAGAAGACACATCAGTCATTTTCTGTTGAAAATTTTCTCCTCTACGAAAAAGGTCCTGTAAACATCTCTCCGAGAATCTTTCTCGGCCAAAAGGGATTTCAAAAATCTGAATTACAGTTCAAAAAATTCGTTCTTTCTCTATTAACAGAATGAAACGAGTCAAAGGTGATGTAAAAACCATAAATAATATCACGAAATGTTCAAAAATACGAGTTGTGGACTTGTCTAAGCGCCGCCATTTTGGATACCCCCTCCCTCTGCCGCAAGGAGCTTCAAAGATGGCGGCGCCCCACCTCGAATTTTCAAACCCTTCCTAAAATTATTTATCCTCTCCAAATCACCCTCAACTCACTCCACCCGATTTCTATAAAATGAACAAATTTTTCAAGCCATCACCCACATTTTTCCACCCCCTTTCAGCTGAGAATTTATCGCCCAAAGTTTTTCCCGCATTTCACAACTGTTTTTCCACTCCCAAAACCTCTCTCATCTCTCGAAATTCTCTTCACCCGAATCCCATGAAGTACCCGAAGTACGCGAAATATTGATTGAATGATATCGTAGACAGAGTGGAAAGGGTGAACCCCCAATAGGGCTTTTCACCCGGTAAATAACTCCCCCCCCCACCCCCTCCGAAAAAGGGGGTTGGGGGGAGGGAGTAAAACGGCGCCAAGGATCTTTACGACTGTCGAGCCACAGTAAACGAAAACCGTCGGCGTCGCCGACACGAGACGACGTTAAACTCTGTCACAAAGTATTCGTTCGTACATGCACATTTCTACGAATACAAATGCAGTTGGTAAATTACTTACAGTCGTATCATAGTGTACAATGGCCACAACATGCCGAGTGCCGCATGGAAACTGGAATAGAAGGGCGTGTTTATTCCCTTCCTCTTCCTCCCTTGAGTTTAAAAAGAAAAATAAGAGAGAAAGAGAGAGAGAGAGAGAGAGAGAGAGGGAGAGAGAGATGGGATGATGGACGTGGGTGCGACCGTCGCCACAGTCTGATTGTTCCGATAACGATTTTATTCTTTGGCCGTATTATGGCATGATGACAATGTATTTCGCGCGAAATAGAATTGATGAAAAATAAGGCTTGATGTTGAATTGATCATGTTTTTTATTTTCATTGATTTTTTTTTGTGAAACAGAAATTGAGGATAAATATTAAAAATTAAAGTCCTTCATTATTTTTTTTCATTTATTTCAACAATATTTATTCAATTTATTCAATGTATTTAATTTGT